GATTATATTAATATTCCAGAAGTATGGTCGAGTACCACGGGGGAAGGATTTCTGTCGTTCCCTGTATTTTCTATGAAACAGTTACTTCTCAAAATCAATAAAAAAATCTGTCAAAATTTTGCTTCCATTAATACAGGGATTACTGTAAGTGTGCAGTGTGGTGTAATGGCAAATGTATCCATACCTGCTCGACTTCCTCCGCATGAGGTGGAGTAACATAAATCTCTGGCAACAAATTAAATAAATTTTCACATTGGCACGAATGAAGCCAATTGAACAACGAAAGTCGATAACTTTTGGATATTTTATTGATCATGTCACTGCAAAACCAACCACAAAAAATTACAGGTAACGACGGAAAAATTCTCCCAGTGGTACTAGCCTGTTATCTTGAAATTTGCATTGATTATATATACTAATTTTTGACCGTGTTTAATTTTTCGCCAAATTTCCTACTGTTTTTTTGATTGGACAAAATGAACCCATTTTCGACAACGACGAGATGCACCAATTACACGACGAAATTCAATTACTGTGAAACGAAATTATGCGAAACGAAATTCTGTGCAAGTTAAGGGGCATTGGGGGCGCCAGGGATTGCCTTTTCAAATGAAGGGCGGATCATGTCACAGATTTGCGTGCAAATGCGTCTGAACTTGCCAACATAATCAGCTAAGTCATGGCAACGTTCTTGCTTCAGGGCGTACAACTAGTCGCGAAGGCGGTCGTCATTTGTTGAATAAACAGGCTAATGCTTTCGACGATTTTTCCGTAGTACTCGGGCATCTTGAGTCCTTCCACCTAGATTTCTTGTCGTCGCAAGCTATCGGCATAGCGCACGGAGGCTACGTGTTGGGCCATGAGTTGTTGGCGTTGCGTTTCTGCGACGGGTTCCATTGTTTGATGTTGGTGTTGGATGGTTTGCAACAGGGTCTCCAAAATTTGTTTCATCTTGTTTTGTTCCATTTATTCTCTTTTGAGCCTGGTCGCTGAATAATCCATTCCAGCTTTTTGAAATTCAGGCTGGGATAAAATCAATTTGATTGGTCAATTTATCCGAAATTCGCATCACGTTCCTGCCTGACAATTTGGTTGGGATGTGGCGTTCCTGCCCTGTACCAGCCATTCCTGCTTTACAGTCAATTTGCAAACTGACCCATGAGTGATGACGACGACGTTCACACGCATGATGTAGAAACTCATGATATTCACTACAATGCCTACTTTCAACTTATGCTGACACTCGGTACATAGCGCAACTAACGCCAAAGGCCAAGAAGGCCAGACGCGCAAAACGCATGTCGGTCGACACCCCAAAGCGAGGCTCGCTTTGAGACGACAAGAGTGTCCATGAATTGTTGCGACTTCGGTACAAGTCGCAGTTGGCCAAGCGTTTCGACTCGAAAAACAACGCTGAGAAGAAGGCGGCGTAAGTTATGCTGGCAGTGGAGTTGAGCATGTCGACGGAGAAAGAGTTTTCCGTTGCTCAAGTACAAGACAAGGTAAGTTGTTGTATCTGTATAAACTCCCATAATATATTGTATATTTTCGCTTTATAGTTCTTGAAAATGAAGGCCGCATGGGCATTGACGAAAACTTGGAGTTCCAGCAAGACTGGTAATGGTCCAGCTAGTGCATTGCCACTGCACTACGACGTTATGATGGAATTTTGGAGCGACAAAAAAGGCTTCCAGCGATACTCATTGATGTCAACGGACGAAGCATTGGTCGAGCCCAGTAAATACTCTTGATGGTATATCACGATATATGTATTTTTGTTTTTAATGCAATGGAAATGTATTCATAGAAAACGAAATCAAGCAAGAACAAGAGTTGAAGTCGGATTCTGAAACCGACAAGTCGTTCACACGACCTCCAAAAACAATAAAGGCAGCGAAACCGAAGAGCTACAGTGAGGCTTTAGATGCTGGCCTTATGGCCACCAAAGATGGATTGATCCACTTGGGAACATCCATGGCAGCGACGCAGGCTCCGGCGCCTGCTCCACCATCGGGAGCAACGTTGGACGATGTCTTGCGTGCGATTCAGGGACAGTCCGACACGATGGCGCAGCTCTTAAACCATTTGGTAGCTCAAAAGGATAAGTAAATACAGTTTACAATTTTCGAATTGTAATTGTCAAAGTCTCATTGTTGAAGTCGCAATGTCTAAGTGTCATTGTCGAAGTAGCATTACAAGTGTTAAAAATCTCATTGTTAAATTTTACAATTGCCAAACTCACATTGATACAGTATTGCTTTAAGTCTTGGCTATTCCATTTCGTTTGGCTTGAGCAGTGCGACGAATAAACGGATTTGTTTCTGTGTCTTGCTCGTCATTGGGTTGAACATACAGGTTACGATCGCGGCGACGCGACGGCTGAGAGAAAAGACCATAATTGAAGTGAATGAACATGTTGTGCAAAACAGAGCAGCATGTCGTGATGGCAACTGTGTGGTCCAGCGACTTTCGTTCATGACAGTTAACCGTTCCTATAAAACGACCGAAGGCGCATTCGAAAGGAAAACTTGTGCTCGACAATCGGTAGTTTCATTGCCTTTGAATTTTGGACAATGCCCCATTTTCTTCGTGCGGCATATACGGTGTCAATAGCCAAGACAGCAAAGTGTATCCAGAGTCCCCAATTATATGACAGCCAGTTGGCATTTCACGTCGAATTGTTTGACCCAGTTCTGACACTTTCCAAATATTCTTGCCTGAAAATGATCCCGGTCGAATATCCACGGACAAAAACACCATACGATGATCCACCAGTGCTTGGATGTTTAAAGAGGGGTCCCCATTTCTGTTGTAAAAACCATCATAAACCCGTGGTCTTTGAATGTCAATAAGGGTCTCATCCACACACTGCAACCTTATTGGACAAAACCTCCGTGGCGTCGTTGGTGCAGTCCCATCCACTGCACCAACGACGCCACGGAGGTATTGTCATTTGTAAAATCCACGTTCAATGAATTGCCAATCATGATTGGCAAGCGAATCCATTGTTAAGCATTTTTAGAGACAGCAAGCACAATTAATTGATGTTAATTGCACTTGAGTAAATCGTAAATAATTGGAAAGTAAATTGGTTGTTTACCTTTCAAGCTACCAAGGGAAGGTGGACCAAGGAGAGGTCTTCGCCCTCGGACATGTTGACATCATCCGTGTCGGATAGGTCAGCTGCCACTGAGGAGTCGGAACCTTCCATTTCCTGATACGTAGCGACCATCACCGTGATCGGCATAGTCGATTGAGTCGACATCGAGGTGCCAAACGACTCCGTCGATAGGAGCTCTTAGGAGTCATCAGCCTGTTATCCCCGGAGTACCTTTTATCCGTTGAGCGATAATCTTTCCACTAAGAATTATCGGATCACTATGACCGACTTTCGTCCCTGTTTGATAT